TCGGAAGGAATCGTTCTGCGTTGGCCTCCAACTCTTCCAGACGAGACATACTGAAGTCCAGGCTCAAGCCTCTGAACAGAGAAGTCTAAGTAGAGTGGAGTAAAGGCTCACTGCTTGATTCTCTTACGGAATGTTCTCCGAGATGGAGGTGGAGATTCTACTTATTCTAAAACCTTCCTCGAGTACAGGAGCATTCAACCTTACCCATATACTCCATCTCACCTACGATCACGCATCGTCAGACGAGCTATACTGGTACACTCCCACTTCTTTGCTGTGGTTGGTATGGCTTCCCAGTCGCAACGTCTGGAAAGCTTCACAGTCATAAGAGTCCTTCTCCAGTTCCTCATCAATGTTCATGTCCGATGGATAAGGGAAAGGCAGGTCCTTTATTTCAGGCTTCCACTTCAAGGCTCGGAGCATTTGCGCTCCCCATGGAGCTAGACCAATGATTCTTCCCAAATCCAGCTTCTGGTGTTGGCTGGGACTTCCGTTCATCTGGTCCTTCTGTTTGGTCTGCTCTTCAGCGTGAGGTTCCTCAGATTGATGATCATTGAGTTGCTCGGGAAGAACAACATCATGCAGGATTCCATATCTGAATGAACTCTTCTCCAGGAACAGCAACGTACCCCTTCCCCAGGGGTCAGTCGCTCACCTCGGGCACGTCAACCGACGGTACACGAATGTCGCTTCTCTGTCACTATCGAGATATACATTACACTGAGAAATTTCGCGAGAAGGTTAAATGATGGTGAACGGCTCCTCACCTGCTGTATTTCATCATCATTAGTAGCTTTAGGTTGACCAATAATACGAAAAGGCTCGCTCTCAAGCGCCTGATTTCGCAGTGAGCTCGGCTTACCATGAGCCTAAATCGCAAGCACCAATCGGCATGCTCTCACGAGAATCGACACAAAAATGGTAATCATATTATGCCATCAAGAAAAGCTATACTCGTGGCTATATTGTGACGGAGCTGCTATCTCTAGCGTTGAGCAGCCCACCTTCACTTCGACTACACGGCCAACTCTATCCGCTCTACTCGAGCCATCCGCTGTGCCCAGCACCAGTGTGATATAGAGCAACATGGACAACGGTTTGATGGAATACACCATTAGCATGGAACCAAGAAGCAGGTTGCTATGTTGATTCTCCGAACCACCAACATCCCTCATATCGACGCCTATGTGTTCCAGTGATGCTCTCTTTTGTCTAATACCACTACGAGACAGGAATTCTCCCTCGAGCCGGGACACAGTGGAAGCACACAAAGCTCACACAGAGCCGTGATAGATACTCAATAATACTCTGCAGTCGCATCGCTTGACTGTTCTGAGAGATCTTACACTGGCAAGAATGGTTCTTCACATCTTGCACTCTAGGCTTTACTCACTTTTCCACAATTTCCTTTTGAGAAGTTCCTCACAAAATCACCGCTGTGCGTGAAGCATGAGAGTCTAGACATGGTGATCCGAGGCCAGTCCAGGGAGGAATTGCTCTGATAGTCTGTAGAAACTTACTGGAGTTGTAGGGACTTGTAGAACTCCTTCTCTTCGGGATTTGCCGGCAACGTTCGGGCCAATCGGCTCGCAGATGACGACTCTATGGTGGACTGTTGGCTTCCCCTTCTAGTGAAGCCACGTTATTGTGGTAGTCGACTCAACTTCTGACTGAGGGCGGACTTGCTCACCATCTGGTGTCGTTCATCACTCGCGATGAATTGATGATGTATTTCCTCTTGGCGGTTTTCATCGCACTTTGGAAGATACGCTCAAGACGATCAGCGTTTCATCATAATACTCAAAGCTTTTAAAGCCGGTGAAGTGAGTGGTTTAACCTTGAGCTCTGCTACTCTTCCGAGGCTAGTGGAAGAGGTTCACTGTGAGGTCGTCCAAGAAACTCAGATTCGATTCCAGAATTGCTTTCTCAGACTTCTGAATTGATTCAATGAAGATGAAGTGTTATGCGATTCTTAACGTCATCAGCAGTACGCCGAGTTTAACTTTTCTCCTCACAGTTTTAAATATCCTTTTCTGATGCTAAGAAGTTCCATCAGGCGATTCGCAAGACGGAGCACTCTAGTCGACGAACTCGGTAACTCTAATGATGATCGAGAACTCCCCTTAAGAGCTACGACGGTCAGGTGCCAAGCGTAGAGACCCGTACGCCTCGGACGGTTTCAAGCCTTTGGATGACAACTACGTGTGGGCTTATACGAGGAATATACTGGACAGCACTGTGTACACAAAGCATGCTGTTGGGGTGAGCTAGGGGAGAGGCGGAGTTAGAATTCACCTTGGATTTTCTCACCTGAGCTCTGAAACTATTCTACTACATTTCTCGGCGTAGAAGTATACAAAAACCAACAATTATTTCCCCAAATTCTCCCAACACACGTTCGGCTGACCATGTGCATATTCTCCCACACTGGTTGATATGATGCTAGGGCGTTTCGAATGGAGCTGCTCCCACCCCACTTGGTATGACCCCTACACAGGGCCGTGATGGTGGCTTCGGCCTGGGCAGCAACCCCAAGACTTTCGTTGTTATTGATGTACGAGGTCCCTGGTTCGATTCTCCCCCACGTCATTTCTCTTCAGTCCATCCCTTCCCCCAAGAGAGCTCCTCCGCCGCCACCGCCGCCTTCCGCTCGTCCTCCGCCTCCTCCACCCAAGGCCGCATGAGTTGGTGTCGTTTCAGTGCAGTCCTACAATTCACATCTTCATGTTTATTGTGTTGCAGTGTGCGTGAGGGAGAGGGATGGTCGTATCAGCATTGATGAAATGCCCGATGACTCTAGTCACGAATCCACTTGGCATTCGAGCTCTATCTACCCTTACGAGGGCCCAACAGACCCCAAGGGACAAACCCATGTCGAGACAAGCTCAAATAAGCCACCAAATATCAAAGTGTCGAAGCCTCGAGGAGGTAGGAGTGTGGCGTATGGACCAGCGACACTCTACGTCAGGTTGAAAGCTTCATCGCTTCCTCCGACGTCCCCGTGGAGTCCTTCGACATCATCACGGCATGTACTGCCTTCCACCGTCTAGCCCGCTACTCCTCCTCATGCGAACGCCTCCTTCACCGCACAGTCACTCGTATGACAGACCTTCTGGCCAGTCCCACAGCATCTGTCCACCCTAGGGTGGTCTCCAACGCCCTGTGGAGCTCTGCGAAGTTGAGAAGTCGAACTGATTGCCTCAAGCTGGTACAGTGCCTGGCTCCGATCATAACTTCCCAACCCTCCCTGGAAGCCTACGAGCCCCTACATGTGGCCAACTGCATCTGGGCATGTGGGTCTTTGTATGAAACTACAACAGAAATGGCCATAAAGGCCGCTATAGTTTCTGCAGCGATGCCCTTGGCCGACCGCCTGATGTGTCGAAGGTCTGTCGATAGATTCACTGAGCAAAACGTGTCCAATATCATCTGGGGTCTCGGGGTGATGGAAGTCCTACACCCTCCGGGGCTCATACTGCACCTTTCGACTCTAGCGGAGAGCCA